GGCGTGTTCGCAAGCGCCTCGTGCCGAGCCCGCCAGGAAGCCGTCAGCGCGCAGGGCCAATCACAGGCACTGAGCCATTTTCCGATCTCTGCAGCTGCGGACCGGGAACATGTCTCAGTGCCTGTGATTGGCCCTGCGCGCTGACGGCTTCCTGGCGGGCTCGGCACGAGGCGCTTGCGAACACGCCCGAGCTCATCACTACCCACCACCCGGCTTACTAATTGCCTGGGAATCGGGCTCCATGTTCCCTCGTGCCGGTCAGAGGAAATCTCCCCCTGACCGGAAGTTCCAGTATCGGGGGTACGTATCGGTGCATCCCTAATGATAATTATCCTGTGATGGAGGTCCATGTACAGGAGCTTCCTGTTATATGGTGACAACACTCTGTCCTTGTTCAGACACTTCCTGTTATAGTGTGAAAGGAAATCATGTAATCCCTGAACTGAGCCCAACCAAACCATAAATACCTCATCAATATAGCGATCCGTTCTGTGTACATGGAGGGCGTCCCATCAGACGTCTCCCCCAATGACCCAAATATAAGTTCTCATATGAGGTGCAGATTTCACATACATGGCGGCCATATTATTATCCATAGCATTTGAGGAATTTCGATTTCTCTTTCTCTAATAAAGGGAGAGCAAAATCCTAGAACACAAACCAAATCTGGGTGCACCAAGATGGCGCCCATAGAGGAATATCATGGTCACTGACTCATAATTCCCCATTCATATTCATTGCTATCAGGGAGCAGAATCGTATGAGTAATAAGACTCGGTTCAGGACAGATTGAAGTTTGACATACACAGGGATGGATGGATAGATAGGTAGATAGAGGGATGGTGAATTAGTATAAAAGAAGCCTAATCAGGGTGGACCAAGATGGCGCCCATTGAGGGCTATATAGATATGGTGAATTAGTATAAAAGAAGCCTAATCAGGGTGGACCAAGATGGCGCCCATATGGGAATCACTCGGCTCCTCATTCACATTGATCGGATTGTTGTTATATTTCACAATTAATAATATAAACTCTGCAGACGGAAGTTTAATAATGTATCACTTTTTATATATAAGAATATCCGGGTGACAAGGAAGCGAACTTCTCCATCGTATGCAATGAGGGTAAATAGGGGAGGGGCGAGTAATAGATGCAATGAGAGGGGCGGAGTTCCGAAGTAATATGGAGGGGCGAGTTGTAGTTGCATGAGATGGGCGGAGTTCTGATGTAATACGGGAGGGGCGAGGAATAGATACAATGAACAGGGCGGAGTTTCGATTCATAGGGGAGGGGCGAGAAGAACAAGCAAGTTCAGATGAAACAGAGAAGGGCGGGGGTAATGACGTAATAGAAGAGAGGAGGGGTTTAAAGGTACGTTATTTTTAGGGGTCGTGGACGCAGAGCCGGAAGTAGGCGGTGCTTTAGGGTTCTGCTTCCTGTGGGTCGCTGTGGTACCGGACGGAGGTGATCCGGACCGGGTAAGTAGGCAGATGTGTTCGCTGAAGAAATGTCAAGGTTTACACTCCCGGATCTGTATGATGGGGGTGTCGTAT